AAAAAAGTCAAGAAGTAATGATGATGAAAGGTGAACTGCATCCCAAACCGTAGAAACTTTAATTTAACATAACAATAAGTGGAATAATCGCTGTGTTGTGAAACTTTGAAGTTTGAATGAAGCCTGTAGCTGAAAGTATGCTTGAGTAATTGAATTTCAAAGATGCAGAATTTTGAAGGATTTGAACATCGTCTCCATTCACTTACACTGTAAAAATTGCAGAAAAAACATTATTTCAAAAATTATGAATAATATCAAAAAGTTGAAGGTAATGATACATCTCTTGAAGAAGCTGAACGTTTTGATAGTTGAACGGTTTATATAGCACAAAGTATGCAGGAGTAGTTAACAACCGAAGGAAATTAAAAGGAGGATCTGGAGTATACCACCAGTAGAGCAGGTTAAATTCAATACATCTGCTGCTGTATTTACTGTTGTTCTGTCCAGTGTAAACTGGTATCTCCCTGTATGACTACTAATTTATAAACAGCTTTCTGTCTGTGTGGCTGTGTTTGTAAACATCACAGAGATCAAAGAGTCTCTTAAGTGTCAAAAACATTGCTGAAGTTCTGTCACAGAACTATGTTGTTATGTATTGTGTTGTTGTTGTTACTTGTATTTGTCTGTGGAAGACGTTTCGCCTCTTATCCAAGCGGCTTCATCAAAGAGGCGCTTGGATAAGAGGCGAAACGTCTTCCACAGACAAATACAAGTCCAGTTGCCTTCGATTCAATTTGAGAGAGAGATAACTATGACCTGGACGAATGAGAACATTCACAGACATATGTATTGTTATGCATTTTTAAGTGGTTATATGGAAATTCTGGAGCTTTCTTAGTGGGTGTTCGGTGTATACCTGCGGATCACGTAGATTACACCAATGGACTGCATTTACATAGTACTTAGAGCCATCAGTATCTTGCCAAAGGACACTTCACCACAGAGACTGGAGGAGCTGGGGATCGAACCACCAACCTGTTACTGAGATATCGTGTCCACGAGAATGAGATGGATGGACAACCTTAAAACAATATGGCTCCTGCTCTGACTGTCACCAGCGTGGAGGAAAAAAAACTGTCTGAAACAAAAATCCAGTCAGGTGTGGCAGGGAATCTGTCCATAAACAAAATCCACAAATTAGGAACTAAAATGGAAAACTAACTAAAACACAAGGGGCAACCAGGAAAAATGAACAGAAGCATGAGGAGACACTGGGAAAGTCAGTGGAATTAAGACAGAAAATCCAATCACTGGCAGCTCAGGAGCACAAGACGCAACAGAAACTCCACAAAGGCAAAACAGTTGAGAAAACAAAGGGATTGACACAGACTTAGATAGGGAGGCAGATATGATTGGACACAGGAGACAATTATAATAGAAGGAAAACTAAACAAAGACAAGAAAATAACAAACACAGATACAAAATAGTCATTTCAAAATAAGAACAGGAAATAAACACAAATCCAAACACAGTAATATAAGGGACACATCATGACTCATTCTACCTCTACTGCAGATGCTCTCATGTATTTGGATAACTATAACTGTAGCTTCTGCTGTGAAGCTCCAGACATGTGGCCTGTCTGTGTGTGTGTGTGTGTGTGTGTGTGTGTGTGTGTGTGTGTGTGTGTGTGTGTGTGTGTGTGTGTGTGTGTGTGTGTGTGTGTGTTACAACCCGGCTCACAGGGGAAAGGGAAGCAACACAAAACCCAGTTGGTATTAGGTATAAGGTTGTTTATTGTATCGTAAATTGTAAAAATAATGGTTTATATGGACAAAAAACACAAACCAAGGAACGGGGCCGGTGGGTGCTGTCCAAACCAAAAACAGAATATAACAAAAGGAGGACTCTATGAGCTAATCAGTAAAACTATTTACCCAATTGAAAGTAAAAGGAAAAACAAAACTGGCTACCAAGGCCAACTAAAGAACCAAAACACACCAGGAACAGCACCCCTGCACCTAGTGTATGTAACAATACAAATGGCTACAAGTGGAGGAACCAGCCAAATCATTTTAAGTATAAAATCTAAACCTGACCCCACTTCCAGGCTTCCAAGGTTACGATCAGTAAAATAAAACAAACAAACTGTCGCAGAACAAGCGCCCACTTAAGGTTCACACAGTACAAATGTCCTTCCAACAACGAGGCGAGCTGCCACTAACAGTCAGCTGCCTGGACTGACAGGCGGGCCGGAGCTTTATAGCTGGTGGTTCCTGATTGGGCGGCAGGGATTGGCCAGCTGCAAACAAACTGCACCAATCAGGCCAGAGAGGGTGGAGCATCCGGGTGAACGGAGCAGGCCGCTGGCAGGCAGCCTGGCAAACAGGAAAATTAAACACAACAAAAATGGCCAGAGTGGCGGCCGTAACTGTGTGTGTGTGTGTTTGTGTGTGTAACCCTCAAAGAAAACAGGAAATGGCTTTACTGTGGTTTAGAATAATATCAGGGTCCCCTCAGTATTTGACAGTGTCTCAGAAACAATGACTGTTATTACATGTGGAGATTAGATTCCTCTGACATTAACATGACTGAGCTGTTTACATGGACATCAGGTGACAAATGATCTGACAGTGAAGCTGAGGTTAAAACAACACAGTGAAGAGGAGATGAAGGTTCTGGTCATGGCTAAAGGAGTTGTTATTAGAGAGTGAAGGTGTGTGATGATGTGTGATGTCATCATGTCAGTTAAATTCACTGTTTTTATTAAGGTAATAAATAATTGAACTTATTGAATGTCTTTATAGTGAGTTTACAGTCACAGCAATTCTTTCAGGCTGCAGGGTTTGACTCTTTGTTATGAAACAGTTAAACACTTACAATATCTCCACAACAATGTCCACAAATGTGTCTGTCACAGAACCAAGGTATTTTCATCAAACACATTACTGCCACAGATATTTGATCTTAACAATGAAAAATAAATTGATTTAATTGAAATGATAATGAATGCCATTGAACATTTTGCATTCTGTGTACTGAACACACAGTGATAACAGGGAACAAGAGAGATGATGATGATGAGGACGTCCAAGACGGTTCTTCCCCTCAGGGACTGGTGGGAGAAGGGGAGAAGGTTGAACCATCTCAGGCCACCACCATTGAATGACGATAAGTCAGACTTATAATTTCTCAATGAGACAGTTTAAGCCATGAAATAAATGAATGTGGTTGTTGTGAACGGCTGACAGGCTGGTGGACTTCAGTCAGGATGAGACACTTCTAGCACACAGATCACAAAGGTAAACTGTAGATACAGTGGAAATTTAATTTAGCCTGCACAAACTAAATGATGCGACATATAACAGATTATGGTACAGGCCCCAACTCTGGCTTCATTACAGCTTAAAGATGTGCTATGTTTTTTGTACGCATGCCGGGTAGAGCAAACTCTTGGGTGCTGCCGGAGAAGTTTGCCTCGAAGGTTTTCTGTCAGAAAGACTTGGGTCAAATACGAGACTTTCACCCAGGAAACTCTTTACTTTAGGACTTTGTTGATTTATTATTTTCAGTTTTCACAGTTTGGTTACATTTAGATACCAGAACTACTTTGTTAGGTCGAGTTAGGGTTAGAAAGCCAGAAAGTCGGCTTCAGAGGAAAACCTGCTACACTACACACAACTAACAAAATTAATGTCACTGAATAATTTTTTTGGGGAAAAATATGACATTCTCTATTTTGATAATATGCCCCATAAAGAAGCTGGAACTGTACATCAGTCAAAGACAAAACAGTGCTATTTTTAAATAAGGAAATGTGCCCCACAACTTCTGAACCCTGCACAGACAGCTCCACCTCCAGGCTAACATAGTTTTCATGCAATTTCCACACTGGTCCTGAGCGCTCAAAGCAACTTCAGAAAACACATGCAAACAGAAAAAAACACAAAATTTTAGAAAACATTTTCATCTGGGCAGAATTTGGAAATAGTGTTGATCATGTTGTGACACAAGTTGTTGTGTGATAGACTACTGGACTACTTACTGGAACTCACAAAGATGATGAAATAACAATAAGCTGTGTAGTGTTTGGTTATGAGTGATGTACAACCAAGCATCAACCTCGAGGGCTGAAAGATGAAGCATCAACACTGAAGTATCAAAACCTGCAGTTCCTCTAATGACCACTAGAGTCTGACTCCAACAGTGAGTTAATCCCCATAGACTCCCATGTTAAAGTATCCAACTTTACAGCAGAAATAAATATGTTGGTACAAAAACAGTTTTAGTCTCTAGAGCAAATTTTCTCCTTCATGACAACAGTTTATATAACTAACCTGTTTACATTTTATTAAGCTTTAAAGTTGTTGAGAATTGAGGGCTGAGCCTTTGTGAGTGACAGGTGGTTGAACTTTCAGCTTCAAAACCACTCTTCAGAAACCTGTGGGCGACATAAGAGAGGCTACGTCCATCTTTACATATGGTTAATGTGTACTATCAATGGTGAACCACCCTACACGATTGAGTGCTGGTGCTGATAAGTATGTGTGTGTAGCTGTGCACTTGTGTCTTTGTGAGGACCTTGGCAGTGAGGATATTTTCACAGTGCTGTTTTTAGGGTCCAGGTTAACATCAGGTTCAGGTTACGATAAGGTTTAGGTTAGGATCAGGGTTAGGAATGGAGGAGTATCCTCACAAAGTAAGAAGAACAAGCCTCTGTGTGTGTGTGTGTGTGTCTGTGTGTGTGTGTGTGTGTGTGTGTGTGTGTGTGTGTGAGTGTATGTGCGTGTGTGATGGGTGTGGTTGGATGCTGATAAGACAGTGGGAGGGCAGAGCTGATAAACTGCTATATGTTAGCTTGTTAGCTTGCCAGCTGTGTGTGTGTGTGTGTGTGTGTGTGTGTGTGTGTGTGTGTGTGTGTGTGTGTGTGTGTATATGACTGTATCATATTTATAGTCTCCTGCATGTTCCTCGTGTAACCTTGTCACTCCTCCTCCTCTGTGCCCCCCTCTCACCCTCCTCTCTTTAGAGATAGACAGAAGAGGAGGGGGTTGGGCTGAGGGGACCCAGACTGTATGGGAGGGGCCCACACTGTCTATGTGTTCCAGTCTCTTATCCAACACACACAGTTTCACATTGTTTATCATCCACATCTCAACAGTCTCTCTGTTTGTCTTGACTTCAGACCTCAGACGTGTGTGTGGATGGGTCGACTGATGACAGGACACAGGACCACCTGTTTGTCAGGTAACACACACACACACACACACACAAACACACACACACACACACACACACGTGTTCATACAGAGTTAATGATGTAATTTGTAATTTGTATAGAGTGTAATTACTCAAATTTCATATTAAAGCATATATGTTCACAGCCTGAAGGATATTATTTCAAAAAATATTAAGTAAAAAAAGAAAACATGAAACTTAGAGACTTCAGAAAACTTTAAATATGTGTGTTCATATCTTGGTGATGATGGTTAGTTTCTCTATATTTTGTTCTCCTTTGTGGGCAGACCACTGGCTTTCATTTCTGCAGTCTTGCCCGTAATATGAGGAATTCAAATGCTGAACTAAGGTTCTTACACTTACTGCAGGATAGGTTCAACTGGAATTATTAGCAACAATAGCAAGCTCTTATTGTGATACTAAGGCTTAAGTATTAGCTATTGATAACCGGAGGATGTCTAAAATTGCCTCAGCTAAATTTGGTGGGTAAACCAATTCTCACCACAGTGCACTTGTTTGTAAGTACACCTAGACGTTTACTCCTGTGGTGGACTAGAATTTTGTTCTAACCTTTGCGGTTTTGGCCAAATTATGAATTTAATATTGCACAATTATGAATATTTGCCAACAGTACTTAGCCTTGGACGGGGCACCAAATGTTGGGTCTGAGCTTTGCCTCATGAGCTAGACACCATAAATGTTGGATCCTTGGCTGTCTATCAATTTATTGGCATCATAAATTAAGAAAATATTATTATTCAAAATATTAATATTGAATAATAACTTTAAAATGAATGAATTAAAGTCCTCTAAATTTACCAGGTTAGAGAGAGATGGTTAGCTGCATGCAGGTTGTAGAACTGAGACGTACTACAGGTACAGTATGTGTGTGAACATACAAGTACTCGATTAACTGTATGACTAATAACAACCTAAGGAAACATTACAGCAACAAGACATTACTCAACAGGTACATTAACAAAGTTAAAACTTCTGCTACTTGGCTGTGCTGTGCTGTGCTGTGCTATGCTGTGCTGGGAGAGGTTACATTACCCAGTCCTTGGAACAAAACAAAGAGGTCCTATCCAGGGTTGCTGTTGAGTCCAGTGAGTTGGGAGGCTTCCTGGTGGAGTAAAGTCCTGTCTGGCTGTGTGGCTTCCGCTGTTGTCTCCTTTGTTCTCCTCACAGAGTTAGCTGTTCCACGCTAACTCTGCCGGGACTCCTGTTGCTTGGAAAATCAGCTGGCTGACTTTGTGTTGTAGCCACTGATTCTGAAGAGAACTTGGTTCACTCTCAGTTAATCCTAAGCAGGTCGCTGCTGTTGAGGAGAAGAGTGTTGCAGTCTGCTGTGAGCAGGCTAGCAATAGAGCTTTTTTCTCAGGAGCAGGGCTGACCTGGGCTGGGGCCTTGGTGCTCCTTGAAGAGCCGAGAGGGAAGATCAGGAGCTGCTCTCCTGAGCAAGCCAAAAGAGAAGAGAAGAGAACAGTGAAAGAGATCTGGTTTTGTTTGGTGACACCCTCGGGGGTCATATGTCACACACTGACCAACACTGACTGGTCAGTGAGGTCCCTGGGGGTGGGTCGTCCCCAGGTATGAACAGTGAGAAACTGTGGTCTAATGATCTCCGTTGCATGGCATCCATTGTTAAAAAATAGCTCTCATTGGACTGACTGTAAATGAACGTGAAAAAAGTGTATTGTTAGTGTACAGTAGTAATGCAAAAACATTGTAGTAACAAAATGCAGTAACCCTGGGGTCAACAGTTAATTTACGTGTCTTTACTTAATGAAAACTTATCACCTCATTTTACATAACTGTAGCTGTTTTGAAAACCACAAAAGATGTAAAAACAGCTACAAAATGTCACAAAACAACCAAAAAGAAACTCAAGACAGTTGAAAACAATTCCTGGAGAAATTTTGAATGTGCCTGCTGCTTGGTGCGTGTACTTCACTTCACTCCTCACATTTCAATCTGTACAAAGGATTTTACTTTCCATTTCATTCATGTTGTAGAGACTTATCCTGACACTGACCTCAGTCACTGCAGGTGTCAAAATAACCTCACGCTGATGTTTTCAAACCCAAATTTGTCCCCACAACCATAACAAGACATGTATACACACATGCACATGCCCTAACAGAAGCTGGTCTGCAATAAAGCTATACCACTATATCCTCATACAGACAATAGCTTCTAAGATCGAACTTTTATTACCTAACTTAACTTTTTGAGACTCTTAATTTGAAAGTGTATCCATGTCGGATGGTGTGTGTCTGTAAATGTGTGTGCTTCTGTGTTCGGCAGTATAAATTGTATAAGGTTTTATGCAACAGAGCCAATAATTCCCTCTTACTATGTTGAGACTTTTATTTTGGAGGTTAATCAAAATTGTGGAGATGGTGTTTGTGTGTTTCTGTCAATATGTGTGTGTGTGTGTGTGTGTGTTTTTGTGTAGCGGTAGAGCTGCCCAATAGAACCTCAGAGGGAAACAAGCACACACAATCCCCTCTGTCTCCCTAGGCAGACAACAGCAGATTTTAAGAAAGTTGTGTTCGAAAATGGGATATCGGAGGGGAAACTACATGTCCTATTGAAAAGATCAACTCACCACAATGCTAAAATGGTTGAAAAGCTCATATTTATTGAAGTACAGTGCTTTGAAAAATTAGATCTCAAAATTATATTTTTTTTATTAGGTGAATATTCAAAGGTGGAGATGGTTTGTGTGTCTGTCAAAATATGTGTGTACATTTATGTGTACAAAAATGGGTTCTTAACAAAGTTGTCCTCACAATCATAGAAAGACATGAACACACACGCATACACAGTGCTGATTTGCCTTGTATATGCTTTCATACTTGAGACTAATGAGTGTAAGAATTAATGAGTCTAATTAGCCAATAAGAATCTGCTTTGTCTATTTCTCCCTGGATATTACGTTAGTAGTGTGCGTGTGTGTATGTGTGTGTGTGTGTGTGTGTGTGTGTGTGTGTATGTATATGTGTGAGTCTGGCTGTTTGTGTGGCTGTTTTTATAAACATCACAGAGATCAAAGAGTCTCTTAATGAGCCTTGTTGAACACTTGTGTCTAGCTGGAAAATAGAGCCGACACAGAGCTGAGTGTGATTTTGGCTAGGCAAGCCTCTCAAACAACTGTTATTTCTGAAAAAACGGTAACTCCTATCAGAACAATGACCAGACCATGACTGGCACACAACCTTTGTGCACAGAATATATGGCTTTGGTGTTTCTAGAGCCAAAAATGTGGAACCAGGAGTGAGTACTGAATTTGTATTGCAGTCAGTGGGAGTTGTGGAGAGTACTCCCATCACTTTGAGGCTTACTGCTCAAATTGTGTTTGTCCGTGCTTAGGTAGACACTTTCTATGAAACAGCACAACTTTGTCTACTACATAGGAAGCAATGATGTGTGAAGACTGACATATGTGGCCAGAAGGACAAGTTACATAGAATTTACAGTTATTTATTTATTTTTACACTTTTTTTTACAGCTCCAAAGAGGGCTGGGTTTGGTCGTTTTCAAATCGTCTCCCGATTCATTTGCCATGGTTACTCGAATTGCTAAGAAAAATCTTAAGCTGTGTTTCTACCGCAGGAACTTTCCCCAGGAACCAGGAACCTTTTGAGGAACTATGTGTGTTTTTCGATTACAGGAACAAGGGTCTAAATTTTGTTGAATGCTATGTAAGCAGGATTGTAATATATGCCTTCAATGCTTATTGCATTGCAGGAACATAACGTATGCAGCATGTTATATATACCTTCAATGCTATTGCATTGCAGGCACATAATAAGTATGCAGGATAGTAATATATGCCTTCAATGCTATGTATGCAGGATAGTAATATATGCCTTCAATGCTATTGCATTGCAGGCACATAACTACAGAAAGATGCAAAATGACAACAAAACACAAAACAACAAAGTAATGCAAGACAAAAGCAAAGAGACCACAATTTAAATGAGTCTTAAATGCATTTTACTCAACTAAAATGAGTACATGATAGGAACTCATTTTAGATTTGAAGCAAAAACATTCATTTTTGACCTGATTACGTGTAACTTAAAATAAAAACATTCCAACAAATGGGTCTCACAGCTCTAATATTTACTCATTTTAAAACATAAATTTAAACAAAATTTAAACACCTTTGTCTAAGCTTGGCAGTTTTAAAAGCAAAATTTTCAAAGATCATGTCATTAAAGACCTGAAAGACAACTGAGGTCAAGTTTGTTTAGAGACTTGGACACGGTCTGACACGATGCTTGGAGCTGGAAATGGGCTTGAACTCAGACTTGCACCAAAATATGAAAAAACAGCTCCACTGATTAAAGGCCTGGTCACACCAGAAAGTGGCATATGCTAATATGCAAGCTGGCATTATTCAGCATCAGGTTTTGTAGCATCTGTTGTTTATTTTTCTGATGGTCATTTATCAAATTCATTATCTTATCAGCTTAGCTTGTTCACTAAAAGTAGTATAAGTTCACATAGTTTATTCAAAGGAAGTTTTTGTACTGTATCATATCTGCATGCCTTCTGCAGTGTGTCTCTGTTGCGCCCAGATTATCAGAACATGCCCACAATTATTTTCACCTGCTCATTTACATTATAAGGAAAACAGCCTGATCTGGAAACACTGTCAAGTGTCAGCACAGATGATGGCAGAGTGACTGATGAGCAGCACAAATCTGCACATGAAGGCTCACCCATGTTGAAGTTGAAAAGTCTGTGCCGATAAATGTAACCACTAATCGCTGTTGTATAGTGGAAAGAAACTGTTGTAAAATTCTGCCGTTAATTGCTGCTGTGACCATAAGAGCTTTAACTCCTGCTCCCTGGATCACTGCCATGGTTCACTGAGACACTTGCTAATCGGTATTCATCACATGCTGTTGGGATGACAACTCAAAATGGTTTGAACTTTATATCTGTCTAATTTTACAAAGAGTTTTAATAACAATATGATTTTGCTGTAGTTTTCTCTGGGCTTGTGTCTGCTTGGACCTTTTTCTGTCCAGTCAAACTGACAGTTATTAATGCCATATAATATACATATACATACATATAATATGCGTTTACTACCTGTGTAATCTATGACCAAAGACAATAATGTCTCTAAGCTATCTGAAAAAAGAGGTGACTAGTCAAAGGTCATGTGGACATATGAAGGTGAATCTGATCATGTGACTTCTCTTCTTCTCTTTCTGTTTCAGACTCTTGATTTCTACAACAGAGGAACAACTGGAGACATGAAGTTGATTTTTTTCCTCACAGTACAGTACATCTCTGTTTCTATTGGTTGGGGGGGGGGGGGGGGGGGGGGGGGGGGGGGGGGGGGGGGGTGTAACAATACTGAAGCAAGTTCAAGTGAGGTGGCTTTAATCTTCTTTATCAGTCTAGTGCATTCTGTTTCTATTGAAGGCCTGAGACCTTCTCAGCCTGATGTTTGTAAAATCTGTCCCTCTGCCTCCTCCCACTCAATGTAATGAATCTGTGATGTGTGGGGTGTTAGCTGCTTCTAAATGTGAATGCCTGTCAGTCTCACATTTTTTTCTATTGGTAAAGATTTCCCCCTTTTTCTGTTTCACTCTAATGTCCCAGTTTATTGTAACAGATCTGAGTCTCATCTTCCTCATCTAAACCATATTTATATTTTACCCCAGTATGACGCTATAGCCCCTAAATACCCATTGGAAGAAGTGAAGTAAATATCAGTTCACCAACATGTTCTTCCAGGAGCGTGGAGCATGGCAGCTTTAATCAGTCAAAGTACTCTCTTAACCTCAGGTTAAACCTGCATTATGACTGAGTTAGAGGCCTCCGGTGTGGGGGAGCACCCCCCGCCCTACATGATCTTTCTGGTGGTCTTCCTCTTCTTCCTCACCGGGCTGCTGGGATTCCTCATCTGCCACCTGCTAAAGAAGAAGGGTTACCGGTGCCGGACAGGAGACATCGATGATGAAGAGGAGGAAGAGGAGAAACTTGGAAGAAATGCAGACGGTGGGTTTCATTAACCAGTGACACAGTAACCCTGTGACTCTGGAGGAACTTTGTTTAATGTGTAGTAGAACAACCCTGGTGATGTCATTAGGGTTATCTGAACTACAAATTTTGGAAATGTAGGATCCAATGTTTTTGGAGTTTGACCCATCCCTCAGCCTCTGTTGCTGTTTCTACCTCATAACTGCATCAATGTTATAGGAGTGCAGCACTAAATCAACAAGTCTCCATGTCCCTGTATGTGCTGAGAACCGTATGGTGACATATTACATCTACCATGCTCTACAGTACAACTGTATTAGATGTAGTTCCTCTCAGCAGTCTAACTGTTTACCATATGCAGGTATTACTGTGCTACAGATATCACATCAGATCGCCAATACTAAATGCACTCAGCATAATATGCATAACACTCTGACCCATAAGAGTTTCCTGTAATAAGGAGATAAGCCACAGATATATTATTAGAAATCACTTTAGAGAAATAAATAACACAGTAATAATAATGATCAGTCATGGTTCCATGGTTCTCTGCTGGAAAACAGTGGATTTTATATAATATCAACATGTACTGACAGGCTGTGGGATGGATATATATTTATATAACATATATATCTATAATATAATCGTACATACATAGACATACATATTTGTGTGTTCCAGTTTCTAACAGGTTTCAGGTTTTTATTTTGTATATACAGTATATGTTTCATATATGGAAATTTAATATATGTACATGTATTACATTTGTGTATGAGCTGCTCACCGAAAAGAAAGAAAATCATTTACATTTTAAAACCCTGACAAACAGCTCTGTAACAGTAACAGCCCTATTAACTAGAAAGTTAATTTCCTGTGGAAAATGCGTGTGGATGCTGAGAGCTGAATGAGATTGCTGAAGCAATGCTGAAGTAGCTGAAGCAACTGCGGAAGCAATGCTGAAGTAGATGAAACAACTGCTGAAGCAATGATGAAGTAGCTGAAGCAATTTCTGAAGATTAAAAGCAGAACTTGTAAGTTGGAGGTTGAACAGCATGAAATGTGTAATTTGAAAGCTGAATGCCCTAGAATGGCTGAAAAAAAGAACAAATGTACAAGCAAAACTTGTACACTTAAATCTGAAGCAATGGTAAAATGGTAAAGAAGCAGCTCATAGGCTATTAATTGAAGTACAGTGCTTATATATGGCTGTTTGTTGTAATAAGACCATTGAATTTATACTGGTAAATGGTTGACCCCTATACTTTCACATAATACATTATATAGGGATGTATAAGTGAGAAGCAAATTATACACAACTGAGAAAGTTGGCCTCAGACCTGTGCCACTAGCCACTTTGAGGATAACCATTTATCATCGTAATCTGTCTGAGCATATGGAAAAATAACTAAAAAAGAAAGTAAAGCTGCATTAACTCACATGACATGTTCAAGCTTAAGGTTTTCTGGACCCAGATGCAGGCTGGTAGATGGAAAGAGGTAATCTAATGAATAAAAGTGATTTAGAAGAAGGTGATGAAAAACTAAAGGACAGGCAGGAAAGTAAAACTCCTTTAATCCAAACTACAGGAAAAACTGGACTGCACCAGAGGGATTGAACAGAGACTAAAGACACAGGGAGGCGGAGATAACAGTGTTCATTAGAACCATTTCCTCCCTGACTGAACCACTGTTGACAGCAGGCTTCATGGACAGTCCTGAGAAAGAGGGGATAGCTCATTTCATCTCCATTTTATTGGGGCAGAGATCTGAAAACTTTTCTTCATAAATTATTTTACCTCAGGTGAACCAGTTCTCACCCCTGGATGACAGACAGTACAGGTGTGGTATTTGGCTTTGATTTTTTTCTTGCTGTGTTCCAGATGAGGATGAAGAGAACCAGGACACAGTGGAGCAGATCCTCAAATGCATCATTGAAAATGAAGGTGACTCATGTAAAACTTATTGAGCAGTCTTTAGGATTTCTGTTAAAGTTCAATTTCAAGTTGCTTCAAGCTGTCATGTGTTCATACCGCCTGGTTTTCTTGTCCTGCCTCTGTTTTATTTTACTGTTAACCTCATCAGATCAGATCAATGTATATGAGCCAATCCAGCTAACAGTACTTGATGAGTGGCTCTAATATCAGTTCTTCTGGTCCCCTCCAGCTAACATGGAAGCCTTCAATGAGATGTTGGGAAGCCACAATATCTGTGTGCGTCATGACCCGAGGTAAACTCAGTCTGTATTAGTCTGACACCTTCACAGCTGTTAACTGTTACTGTCACAGTGAATCTGAATTTTAATTTACAACTTTAAATTCCTAAATGAATGTTTATGGTTCAGGGCTTTTCCTCCAAGCAGTCACACTCTGTCTGACTACAGTGTTAGCTATAATCAACCATTTAAAACCAGCACTCAGGGACCCATAACTTCGTGCAGATACAAGTCAATGGTTGTGTCTGAAATCACTCATTTACTGCTCCCTAATCACCATCCAGAGGACTGTACACTGACCTCATCAGTAAAATGAAAGAAACACTATCAGACTCTACTCAGGTCATTTTCTCTGCGCTGTTTTTTTTTTTTCTTTCAGCGTGAGCGCAATGCATGATGGTATAAATTGCTTGGTTGGTGACCATTGGTTGTGAACTACTTTTCATGAAGCATTGTGGGATACTGTCGTGACTCAAATTGGATACTTCAGTACACTCACATGTAGATACTCACTGGCAGTTGCCCCAACAGGATCATATTTCAGGGTACGCACAAGAATCGCCTGTCTGCTTGTAGGCTAGCTTTAGGTTTCCCACACACACACATATCGCACAAGAGAGAGAGAAATTGATTTGTGTTTTTAGCCCTAAAGTTATGACACAACACCACCATAAAACTCTAATTAGCCGACCACAAAAAAAACATAAACAACAGCACTAAATAGCAGGCTACAATATACTAATATATATATATATATATATATATATATATATATTGAATATCTCAATGGTGTAGTGTGTGAATTTGATCAGTGTAGTGTTGTCTTAAACACTGCCAAAAAATGGAAAGTCCCCTCTTTACCAGCATAATCTTCATGGTACACTTCTCTTGGTCACCTGGCTATGCTAAAACGATGATCATATAGGTTGCTTGACAGGGTGGAAGAGTATCATTTGAAATAGGATCAGTACCATTATTATACATTTGGAGTTTAATGGCATTTCCAGCTCATCATAAACTATGATATAAAGTAAACTTGGTTGTAATATCAGTGGACAAGCAATGCTATAAGCTTCTAAGCGCTCTATGCATCACAGTCATGCTGGCCTTCTTTTTCTGTTTGTGTGTTCTTATCTCAGTATGTTATCCCTTTTTTTAAGACTCTTAATATTGTCGTCCATCTTGTAATCGTCCATCAGTTAATGTTGATGAATCCAGATTCTTAGCGGTTTGTTTACACTGTCACTGGTAAATGTGACACTGCTTCCTAGTGGAACATACATATGTTGAGATGAACTTGTCTGAATGAACCAATGTACTTTCCAGCTTCAGACCACACACACCCCTTCAATAAGAAAGATGTTAATGATGATGATGATGATGATGATGATGATGATGATGATGATGATGTCCAGGTTGCGTAAGGAGTCTATCGGTGGTGTTCCTCCTCATCACCACACCGTCCACTCAGGCGCCGACCACACCTCCTGCCACCTCTGTGCCCAGGTCCGATCTAAGAAGGGGCGCAGACATAGCAGAACCCCCCGGTCCAAACAGAGACCTGGAGAACAGACTGTGTTCTCTGTGGGCAGGTAACAGCACACCTTTAAACCACTCCCTCATAAAGCATGCTGGGATAGAGAAGCAATGTTTCATCCATGTGTCATTATCCCTCAGGTTTCGGGTGACACACACTGATAAGAAGCTCCATGGAAGTCCCAATACATTGGTCAGTTCAGGAGACCAGCTGGACCAATCCCAGGACAGCGAAGAGCGGAAGGAGGGTGGGTACAACCTGAGGAGTATGTTCAAGGACGTCCGACCTTCCTCAGAGAATGCCAATGGGATCGCCCCACCTGTGGGGAAACGAAGGAAGAGCATGACAATATTTGGGCTGAGGCGGGGTAGTGACCCCATTGGCATTAAAGCAGTGGAGGGGGCAGGTAGGGAGACTGGGGGTGTCAAGTTTTCTATCCAGCAGCAACCTGTAGTGGAGGAGCTGGTTCAGACCGAGACCAGTGAGACCGCCTCTGAACGTGGTAGTAGACCTGGTTCCAGGCCTGACACTGAGCTCTCGAAGAACCAAAGCCCTGCTTCACCGCAACATGAGGCTAAGATGGCAGGTTCTGAGAAACAGGCTCATGGCCCTAGCCCTGATCCTGAGGATGGCTCTAAACGTAGGCCCAGTCATGAGCCTCATACCAACCTTACCCTCAAACCTTCAGTCGGGATTACAGTAGCCCCCGCCCCCAGCTCACTTCTTATCCCATCTTCCACTACGACATCAGAGAAACGAGGACATGATAAAGTGTTAATGGAGGCTTTTGATCCTGAACCACTGCAGACCTCTACACCCATCGTCCCTGTGCCAGGATCGCTTCCCGGTTTCACTCCTGCTGTTCCTGCTGATCCAGCTGCATCCTGTTCTAGCACAGATTTTCCAGTCATCCAGACTCCCCCCAACCCGAGCTCCAATCCAGATCTGGAACCAGGTTTTAGTGCTAGCCTAGCTTTAATAAGTTTAGGTTCATCTCCTCCTTCTTCCTTCCCAATCAACACCCCGTCTTCAGCCTCTTCATTAAAAACCTCTCCCATGCCATCAGAGGCTGCCTCCTCCCGTGGCCTCACTCTGAGCCCCAAAACCCCATCAGGCAGAGCAGTGTCCAGCCAATCCCCTATCCCATCAAAAACTACCAAAACTTTACAAACCCAAACTTCACTTTCACCTGTTCTTATTAAGAGCCCCAAACCTGACACCAGGCCACATGTTTCAACTGCTTCCCCAGCTAACCAAAACCCATCCTTCAAAAGTTCACCTTGTCTGACTTTGAAGTCAGGAAATGTGATGTCTGTAACATCAATGACTCAAGGGGACATGGTTTCAAGTCCATTATCTGTAAAGGTTCAAGAGCTGGAAGCCAGAACCCCAACGACAGAAGTAAAAAGGGCAGGGATCCTAAAAACAGCTAAACTCTCACCGGGTGAGGGAGGGTTTAAAGGTTCTGCCCTTTCCTCTCCCTCTGATCAACTATCTAAAGACAGACTGAGCAGTTTACCTGTGTCCCCCTCCAGCCCACTGTCCCCCTCTTCACCTGTCGGCAGCAGAGTAAGCAGCATGACCATTGTCAAAGCCAGTCCTGATAGCAAGAGAGAGTTTTCTGTCATCACTATGGTGGAGGATGAAGGAGCCTCCACAAAAGACAACAAACTAGTGGCTTCTGAACTGGGGGTTGAATCTGAAAAAGCAGAAGTTAGTCCAGCAGCTGGTCAGAGAGGAGAGGTCTCTCTTTCAGGTACAAGACCACCTGAGAGTCAGAGAGGAGAGACTCCTGCAGCAGAGGTGAGGCCACCACTGAGCCAAGAGAGAGACAACATAGTGGAGATGGAAGATATTAGAGACTGCAAAGTGACGAAGGAGCAGGAAGCAGAGAGGAGGGAGGAGGTGGAGGTACACACTCAGGACTGAGAGGTTAACTCTCCCAATGTTCATATTGTCCTGGGATGATCCAAAGACACAAGCGTGGCACCTCTCAGTGGACCATAGGAAATGTGTTAATAATAATTAATTAATAATTTATAAGTATTTAACCACAGCTGTGAATACGTTGCACTGGGACTAAGTGGCTGATTTATTGACCTGCCATCATCTGATTCTGATCCATTTAAACACAAATCACATACACTTCATGTGACTTTTAGCCGTAGTCGCCGTACATATGTACACAGCTCTGAGGTAGACCCGACACCTGGTCCACACTAAAACATCTCCACTGTCAATTCCTGGTTCCCAGATGATGAATCTTGTCAACTTTAGTGACATATCTCAACAGCTGTTGGATGGATTGCCATTAAATCTGGTACAGATACCCACAATGACTATGATTGATCATAGTGATGTTTGATGATCCCTTGACTTTTTGCTTAGCCACACCAACGGGGGGATTACCATTAAATTCTGTAGAGAAATTCATGGTCCCCAGTGGATGAACCCCACTGAGTTCTCTAGTGCCACGAGAAGCTCAAGGTTCACCTCCAGTTAAATATCCTATCTACACAAACATTCCTGGTTCCCAGAAGTTGAATCATATTCTGTTCTATTACTATAGCACTAAATCATAACATACATAATCTCAAGGGACTTTTCAGGGTAAAATCAATGGATATATTATGTTAATGGAAAAATACATCTTTAAATATAACATTGTGCAAAATGTCTTTTGAAAATGATAGATCAATCAATGGTCAGTTAATGGTCTGTCACCAACTAGCTGGATTATTGATCATTAGTTAACATCTAGGGTTTGAACTGCCTTGTTATTGGACTGATTACATTTGAGCTGTGTGAGTAATTTACTGATTTGTTAAACATCATGATTATTTATAGATGTACAATGAGCTAATGGCTGCTACCATCAGATCTCATCTATTGATGTTCCTGATTGTGAATCAATATTAACAGCACAAGCACAAAGACAGTAACAGTCGCTTCCATTGGTCCACAGCAGCTGGACCAATAAAACTAGTTCAGTTCAGTGATTATGTTTGACCTCATGCTACAGCTGTTTACAAATGCTTGGGTAAATGACATAATTAGTTTTTATTCATTAATTGTGTTTATGAAGAGTGAATCTAACGCCTAGAGCAAACACACATTAAATATGAGGGGCTCTCCACATGTCAATGGTCTGCTCCTTTTTATTTTATCAACTGGAAAAAATAAAAAAAGATTTCCAGTTGATAAAACTGGAAATGATGCTCTGCAGACCTTAGAGGTCGAATGTTGTGATGAGATCACAGGTGACATTTCCTCCTTATGACTCTTCCATTTGGCCCTCTGCAGTCACAAGGGGGTCTGGATTTGCCTCTCTGCTGCAGACCTGCAAGTTCACCTCAGAGTTTTCTTGGTCTTGACTTCATTTCCTTTATAATTCATAATTTCATAAAGAGGGAAAGTCAATATCTTCTATAGACCCCTCTGGTTTGTAGCATCAGTCAGCCTCATGTTCAGATCCTCAGTTTGCCGATTAGAGGAGCTGACCCTACCTTGTTCACAGGTCTTTACCTGCCTCACATGTCCTGAGTCCTGTGTGTAAGCATACAAGTGCTGAAACTTTTGCTGCAATAATTGTTTTCAATGATTGATTGTAAATCAATTTTTATTTTTACTTTTTAAGCTGATGATCTAAAAAGTAACAGAACTTTAACATTTGAAGAAAAGCTCTGTTTTAATGTGTTTGCTGCAGTCGTTGGATTTACTTCTTGCAAGTGTAGACTGTAGCTGTACTGTGGCCCTGAGAGCTCCAAGCGCCACAACTGAAGAAAACACATGGAAACAGAAAAAACATAAACCAATTCAGAAAACATCTTCATCAATTTAAGAACATGTGCTGCAAATATTCACAACACAACGGCTGGAACACACTTGCATGGATGTATTATAATGCATGTATTATAAAACGCACTTGTACATCCATGCAAGTGAATCTTAGCCAGGTTCATCACTTTTTAGTGTCCCCTGCAGCTCATGTGTTGTCAAATTGATGTTTCTGAATTTGCTTGTGTTCTGTCTCTTTGCAAGTGTTTTTGTTGCAGTGTGTTGGGCTCTCAGGACCACCGTAGTGTACAGCTCTTATGGAGCTTCATGCTTTAGATCCTGCTCCTCTGTGGTGATGGGCTGACCACATACAGTTATCACATCGGTAATATCAGTATAGTAGAATAAGTTGTTGTACTAATGTAATCAGGTGCTTCCACTGGTTAATACACCACACAACCAGCCCAGTCTAAACAGACTGTCTTTAGTTTATTGGAGTTGTGACATTGATACATATTCATATAGTCATGTTGTTCTTCACACTTCTCATACACTGTCACTATGTGACAGTATTATAAAGTCTGATGTGTATTTTGAAGTATAATGAGTATTTTAAAGTCTAACCTAAAAATCTTCTACAATCTGATGTTGTACACTGATAAGTGGTATATGCTTTATGTTCCTGAACACTAGACCTCAGTGAGACAACTCACTCTGCAGTGAATGACTGATGGACTTTGGGGGTTGTCCACTTTTTTAATGTCTAATAAGTTTTGTGTAGACACCTGTGGTAGACCTTTTTTTTGTTGAAAGCTTGTGTGATTGTCTGACTGCTCACGCTCATGATTAAATCTCAGTCATAACCCGCAGAAAAGAATACAGGTTGTCAAACATTAAGTAGAACAGAAGAATACTTCACATCTGTTTCGTGAAGCAGGTGTGTAGCAGCAGGATGAATGGATCTGAATGGAGCAAATAAAAAATTCACACTGTCTGACTTGCGATAAACTATTACTCTGCTACATTTCTGTGCTGGACCTTCATCAGCCATCACGATAAATTGGAGTGGCTGTAAGAGAGCAAACAATCACCTGAAATTAAGACATCCGCTCACCATACAACAATTTCTAATATCATAAAGAGGTAGAAGATTAGAAATTCCATATAGTGACACATAGGTACAGTCGTGCCTCAGGTGCATTTACCACATACTGTCAAGTTTGTGGTTAAGCTGGACCCAAATGCAGCCGAAAGCACAAGGGAGTAGGTGGAAAGAAAGAATTTTAATATCAAGAAAAGTGACAGAGACAGAAACGCTGAGTCGGGCAGGAGGAGGGGGTCCGGAGGAGGGATCCAGGGGCCAGTGGAACAGGAAGGAAAGTAACCGGGCAAGGGAAGGAGACTGGCACCACAGGGGCAGAGCAGGAGAGCATCCACTGATGCTCAGGGGCAAAACAGGCCAACTATGGGATGGCCCAGAGGCCTTATGGACAGGCTGGGCAGTTCAGTGGGGCAACCTGGAGGTCAGGCAAACGGACGGAGCCGTTCTGGAGTCCGATGCCGAAGACCGGGTCTCTCCGAAGGTCGAACAGGAGGACAGCGGGGAAGAAGGGGTCTCTCTGGAGGGCAAGCCGGAGGACGGCGTTGCAGGTGGAGCCCCTCTGGAGGGTGAGCAGGAGGCCGGTGTTGCAGGCGGAGCCCCTCTAGAGGGTGCCCAGGAGTTGACTGTTGGTGACTGGGGAACAGGAGCAGGAGTTGGCCACATAAACTCAAACATAAAATGCCTGCTATGGCAAACCATGACACATACTACATAAATGTCCATACAAACCTCCATTCCCACATGTTATTGGATACAATAAAGATTGTTTTTCTTGATTTATTTATTCTGTTTACTAAAATATTGATACTATTTTTTCATAACATATATTAATCCCTACAGGCATATATATATAACTGTAACCTTTATGAAGAATGTAGTTTATGCACCCGAGTGGGAGAAATATTAATTTCATATTAATTATCTATTCAATGTGAAACATATATGGGTGTGCCACTATATGTAGTTTCTAATTTATCATAAACTGTTATATAGTGAACTGATGTCTGTTAATTGTTATTTTCTATTTCAAATGGATGAGGGGATCAGCCGCTACTATTTAAGATGGTGGCTCCTCATTGTTAAAATCATCTGCCTGATGAAGGTCTAGCACAGAAACGTAGCAATTAAATTGTTTATTGCCTTTGAGTAGAACAAAAGGAACTGGGCTCAAAAGCTCTCCTGACATACAAAGGCAGAAACAGCCTCCCCAGGCCGCCATGACGGAAGAGAACAGCTGAAGGAACCACAACCTGCAAATGTCCAGAGTCAACAGAAGAGAACTGGACACTGTGGTGCAGAACATGACAGAAATGAGCACGAGCAAGGAAGAAAAGAAACAACAATAAATGATTTTAAATGATTCCTACCTTATGTTCTTTTGAACTCAGAATACCACTGAAAATGAAGTCACTGAGAAGAAAAAACATCCAAGAACAAAGTAAAAAAATGTACAAGAAAGAAGTCATTTAATCTACCCAGTCTGATGAGAGACTTTGTTCCTCAAGATTCTGACTTTAGTCTCATTGCATCATCATGTTTTCTTGCAAAATTAAAAATTTAATCTAAAAAATAGTCTGAGCTTTTTTTGTAAAGGTATTACAGTGTTTGTTTTTCCTTCAATTAAGACTTTGCTCACACAACATTAACAACTTTTTTCAACTTCATTCTCAAAGTCTCCAGTTTTTATGTCGTCACAGTGGATCTAATCCACTGAAGGACAGTTCTCAGTCTGTCACTCCCCTCAAGAGGTTGGTCATTCAGAAAGTCTTGATATCTGCCTCTGAAACTTTAACACACAGGGAGGGTGGTTGGGGAGGTTTTTTCAGCAGGTAGAATCAGGATGAAGTGAGAACATGTGTATGTAATCCAAGTACATGTGTTTCTGCAGGAAGGTGGCATAACCCTTTGGTTGTCATGGTTATTGTAAACCCAACAATGTCATCTGTATTTATTTAGATTCCTTCCTACAGCAGTTTACATTCCAGCCTCTGGCCCTGGAGAGTCCTGCAATAGAAGAGTTCACCAGACACAGGTCAGAGGTTCCAGGTCAGAGGTAAATCAGTTCCTGGTCTTGTAACTTGTAGACTATGGAATGCCATCTAAATCAATATTAAATAAATACATGAATGTTAATGTAAATATATAAGTGATATATAAGTGCCACATTTATTTCCCAGCTCTTTTTATTTCCATCTGTTATATTCAAATGGGTATGGTTATCTCACATATTCAGACCAAAGCAACAGCACCAGAAGAGAGGAATTTAAAAGTAGAAAATACAATTCCTGTGGAAAGTGTGTGTGAATGCTGAGAGCTGAATAAGATTGGTGAAGCAATGCTGAAGTAGCTGAAGCAACAGCTGAAAATTAATAGCAGAACTTGTAAGCTGGAGGTTGAATGGCATAAAATGGTTGAAAGACACCTGAATTGTTCAAGCAAATTGTAAAAACAGCACAAAATTATACAAAAATGTACAGAACAGCAAGAATTTCAATTTCATAACAGAATGGCCAAAAATGGTCAGAAAATACCTAAAGAAGAAAAGCAAAACTTGTAAGCTCAAATCTGGCAGAGATTTCTGAAGCAATGGTTAAAATGGTTGAAAAAGCAGCTCATATTAACTGAAAGTTAACTCAAAGTACAGTGCTTTGAAAATTTAGATGCCAAAATGGAGGAGCTGAAATCCATTAGCTGCAAAAACTGAGAACTGAAACATGATGTTGAAACAGTTAAAAGCCAAATTACTTCCTGCCAAATGTGGAAATAGAAATAATTAATCTTTTGTATTAGTAACAGAAAGATGAACTGCATCCTAAACAGTAGAAAATTTATTTTAAGATATAAATAAGCTGAACAATCACTTCATAGCTGAAAGTCTTGTGAACAGTTTAAAGTTTGAATGAAGTTGTGACGCGGTGAGGTCAAGTTGGGGTTTTTGTCCTGTCTCCATGTCTTGTCATTTCCTGTTTTATTTTGAAAGGTTAACTCTCCTCTCGTTTCAGGTCACTTGCCCTTCCTCATGTGTCACCTGTCTGAGTGTCTTCCCTGATTCCTGATTGTGTCCACCTTTTCCCCATTTGCCCTAATGTGTCTTATAGTCTGCGTCTCCCTTTGTCTTGTGCCAGAGTGTCTCGTTCCAGTCGTGCACCCTAGCCAAGTTATCACAGTTCTTGCCTTGCCTTGTCTCTGCCTAATCATACTTATTCTTTACCTCCATGTGAGTGATTCTTTGTTTGTATTTTCATAGTCTAGAGTTTTCTGTTTGTCAAGTTTGTAGCAACTTTTGTAGCCTCCTTGTAGAGTGATTTTCTATTGGTTTATTCCTTTTTGTTTTAGCAGATTTGTCCCTCCATTTGGAGGGGTTTTTGTTTATTAGATTTTTTCCCCATAGTATAATTTTCATAGCTGTTTTTATTTGTCACTCTCTATTGAGGGAGGAATAGTTACATAAAGTCTGCCTAATTGTCACTCTGCATCTGAGTCCTCTTTCAAGTCCAGGCCTGACAGAAGTCTATAGCTGAAAGTATGCTCAAGTGGTTATATTTCAAATACATTGAAGTTTTGAAGGATTTGAAAATCTTCTCCATTCATTTACATTGTATTATTATTATTTCAAAAATTATGAATAATATCAAAAAGTTGAAGGAAAGGATACATCTCCTGAAGAAGTTGAACATTTTGATAGTTGAACAGTTATATGTAGCACAAAGTATGCAGGAGTAGTTAACAACTGAAGGAAAGTGAAAGGAGGATCTCAAGTTTAACACCAGTGGAGCAGGTTAAATTCAATATGTCTGCTGCTGTATTTAGTGTTGTTCTGTCCAGTCTGAACTGTCATCTCCCTCTATGAGTACTAACTTGTAAACAGCTTTCTGTCTGTGTGTCTGTCTATCTACCTGCCTGTGTGTGTCCGCTCAAATCCGTTAACATGGGCGCGGAGATGAAAATCAACACGTTCCGAAGCTGCCATGCATCCAGTGTGCACTGGGTCTAACCCCACTGCATGTCGACATGTTGCTATTTCTGAACAGAAACCAGTAGACAAGCTGTCCCCTATGTTGAAGACTGAGGTAGGCCTGGCCTGTTTATTTTATTTAGAGGTCTGAAAAATGCAACTATGAGTTTACTTTTTGTTAACTGTTGGCTATTTTGGATTATTTATTAGCGGAGAGCAGAGGTTTTCCTTACAGTGCTCTTGGTGCTGGAGGATTCAGTGTGTGTTTTCGTTTTATTAATCTGTTTATACATTAGAAAGTCTGGCTACTATTTGCTATTTATTTTAAGTTACAAAATATTTTCCGACAGGGGAGATCTAGGCTATTATGCAAGTTCTGCACATGTAAAAATTAACCCTTTATGGAAAAAAAAAATTGTTGTATTGGTATTTTTTTAATTAACTGTTATCTCTCACTATTAATACTAACTTGTAAACAGCTTTCTGCCTGCCTGAGTGTGTGTGTGGCTGTGTTTTTAAACATCACAGAGATCAAAGAGTCTCTTAATGAACTGTTTTGAACACCTGTGTCTGTTCAGCTGTCTGTGTCTACAGAGCTGAGTGAGATTTTGGCTCAGCGAGCCTCTCAAACGACTGAGGCTCAAATTTCTGAAAAAACGGTACCTCATATCAGACACAGGAACTGACCATGACTGGCACAAGAAAATGTGTAACAAAAATGTGGAAACAGGAGCGAGTTACCAAAAAGGGTCAGTTCTGCTTTTCTTGGGAAATCAGCTCCTGAATTTATATTGCAGTCAATCAGAGAGGTGGAGGGTAATCCCATCACTTTGAGGCTCATGTTCAAATTCTGTAAGTGTCTGTGCTGTGAAACAGCACAAATCTGTCTACTACCTAGCACGCAGTAATGTGTTAAGACTGAAATATGTGGCCAGGAGGACGAGTTACACAGAATTTTTTCAGAGAGTTCTATAGCTTTTCCCACTCTAGCTGTGATGTCATCCACTTGAAGTTCAAAGAGGCTGAGGCTGTTTTCAAGGATTTGAACATTGTCTCAATTCATTTGAACGGCAAAAAAATATGATAAAAAGCTTAATATTTCAAAAACTGTTAATAATACAAATAAAAAAATAAAAAAAAATAGCAGGAATGTCCTGAATGAGCTGAACGTTTTGATACTTAAGTTCCAAAAACAGGATGGAAATATTTGAATAACAGTGTGAATACCTCAGCATGTGGGCTAGAAAGTGTCTAACTCGGGTTTTTCTGCTGACCTTGTCCATAGCAGCTCATCACTCAGCTTCTGTCCCAGTGCTCCTGCTGCTTCTCCAAACTGGCAGTGTGTTGACTCAGACCTAATGCAGACAACACACTGACTATAGATATTCTATTATTCTGTCTGTTTATATCATAGAGTGTGAGCTAAATAACAAACACCTCTATATACAAATCAAAACATGATCTCTCATTCACACTGTATTCAGATGTATCATCATTTATTCTATGTAGCTAATACATAAGAAGTCTCACAGAGTTGGCCAGAAGAAAAAAACAATGACAGATACAAACAGTTTGGTCACATTAAGGTGTATCTGCCGGTGTCTCAAGGCTGAGGTGAAGGCTTCCGAGCTGGAGGAGGAGGCGGGGCTCGACACTGGAACAGAACAGATGGAAGAGAGAGAGGCGTTCACTGTCACTGATCAACATCCGCACACAGACGCATTACATCAGTGTTAAAGAACTCTGCTGTCACGTACTGGTCTCAGCCGACTGCTGCAGAGGTCTGGAGACTTGTGGCTGCTGCCCTCTGACTCTGATCAGAAACACAAAGACAGAACATTAAGACCTGAATCTGCAGTTCTGATAACCACAGTCTGACTCCACTCACCTGCTGTATTGTCTCTGGGCCTGTCCACACAGCTGGGGGGAGTGGCACTGAGAGGTGGACTACAGCCAGGAGAGGAGGGGATTGGGGGGGGGGGCAAGGGCATGGTCGGGGTGGGGAGTGGCTGGAGATACAACAAATACAGAAGCATCAAAACCAGTAAACAATCAGATAAATGGAGAAATAGTGTGTGGCTCCTGAGTCCTAATCACCCAGAGAAGTCCAGATTTACAGGAAACCACAGACAGTCATTCCTCACCTCTTCCTCCTGCTTTACCTCCTTCTCGCCTTCATTATGTACAAGCTCCACTACTAATGATGGAAAGACTCCGGTCCGACCGTTCAGCTCTCCCTCCCAGAAACCGTCGTCCACCTGAACCACAGTCCAGAGGTCAAACAGAGCATGTGCCTCGTGAATCATCTAAACTCACCATCCACTTACTGGCTTTATTCAGAGTAGGGCGTGTCACTTTTTATTTGAGTATTGTAGGCTGCAGTCTAAGCACATCAGACCTTTTGAAGTAGTTTGCCTTGTAATCCAGCAGAGGGTGCTCTGTCAGCTTGACCTATTGACCTATCAGTAAACTAAGCTAATGATAATGCAGTGTTCTTTTTGTGAAAATGAAAATGGAGGACAATAGGGAGCAGAGGCGTCCTGAGCAGAACACAACACTAAAACATCTGAGAGGCAGCAAGTGTAAGTATTTTGGGTTCTACACCATGGATGGCAAAGTCACAAATAAAGATAAGGCTGTTTGTCGATTTTGTAAAAGGCAGCTGCCTTACTCTACAAAGACAACAAATCTCAATCAAAGGGTGTGGGGTTATACGAATTGGGGGTCATTTAGAATTTTTGAAAAAGTGACACAGCTTTCAGCCACATCTCATGGCCTTCAGCTAGAGTCGTCTCAGTTGTAATACTGCAGTCATGTGATGACAACTTAAACTCAATTTGCTGATGAAGGCTGTGTGATGTGGTTGAAAGCTCTATAAAAGATCAAGAATTAACTCTCAAACTGACTCGCCCTGTACCTGCTCCTCTTTACAGGACAGGTGGGTGTGACAGGTGAGTCTGACAGGTGAGCCTCACTGTTCTGTCATGACTTGGTGTAGAAACACAGACTCTGGCAGATCTAGGCTTTTAATTTGAAATGTACTGCACCTCTCCATATCGATAGCGGATCAGGTGGATTAGCGCCCCCTCCTGGAAGGACAGCTCCTCTGCACTCTGGGCCTGATAGGAGTACAGAGCTTTGGCCAAACCTGAAACAGATCACAGCTGTATCATATGACCATCGAATAACACTACATCATCACGCGTGTGTGAATGTTGAAGGTGTGAGGATCAAACGGTGCAGATATAAATATGATTGGACTGGATGTCTCAGCAGTGTGTTGTAGTAAATTTTCACTAAAATATACCATGCATTATAAATATACTGAATATTAAACTTGCATAATCCAATGGAATAGATATACTTACAACTGAGGTTAGATTTGTAAGTGAACCAGCTTTACTGAAGTAAGATTGTTACAGAATGGAACCTGGAGGGAATAAAGTTAAAAAAAAAATGTTCTAAAGGCCCTGGGAGCAATTGTGTTGGAGTAGCAGCCGTAGCGAGGCCAAGATTGAGGATAGACGAGGGCCTTAGGTTTAGGGTGGTGGAGGGGCTCTTGGATGCCTGGTCATACTACATGCCTTTGCACAGGAGTCTTAGATAGGGTAGAAGAGGGGCTTCTGGACATGTGGTCCTACTACGCTACCCTGGCAGGCCAGGTTTGGGGATTTCCACACAGGGCTGGATATCATTGCTCCCAAGGCGGTGATAGGTACACTTTATAAAGTGATAGTTCTTTCTTAGGTAGAGAACCCACGTAAGAAAGAACTATATATGATTGTACACAGGCTTTCTGTCTTCAGTTCAGATCCGGATCTGATCTCGCTTTTATTCTTGTGAAAGAATTCATTCTATTGCATCGGACTCTGATCATCTCCAGTGACTTCTTTTTTTAAACTTTTTTGACTCCAGTAAAAGTGCAGTATTGTAGAAAGTTAAGCGTTGGTGAAGACGTCTAGACTTAGTCTCTGGCCCGGACCTGGACCTTTTTTCCTCCAACAAGTGGATGTCTTTAAATGGGACATTCAGCGTGGACAGACCTGGATCAGTTAGGTGAACTCTTTATTCTGAATGATACATTTTTGATTGATTTTGAGTATGTTGCTATAAGTTAGCGGGTCCCTGTATAACCAGAGTGACAAAGCTCTGTGTCTGTATTCTCTGCAGAAATTCAAACATGTTCCTGGTGGTTGTCCCTGGTCACCAATCCTGTTTGTGATTCATGCATTTCATGGACAGGATTTCAAGGTGGGGGAAGGAGTGCGTCTGGTTTGGGGATCTCAGAATTCCATTCCAGTGAGTGTGAAGTGGTTGGGATGAGGGTCAGAACCTTTAAGTCTGAGGCCATGGTCCTCTGCCAGGAAAGGGTGGATCACTCTCTTTAGGTAGGGATGGAGTTTCTGCCCCAAGTGATAGAGTTAAATATCTCTGGGTCTTGTTCACAGTGAAGGTAAGATGGAGAGGGAGATGACAGGTGGATCTGTGTGGCATCAGCAGTAAAGCAAACGTTGTACTGGACCATTGTGGTGAGAGGAGCTGCGCCAGAAGGCAAAGCTCTCCATTTACCAGTCGATCTATGTCCCAACACTCACCTGTGGTCATGAGATCTGGGTAGTGACCAAAAGAATGAGGTTCCAGGTGGCTAGAATGGGTTTCCTCTGCAGGGTGGCTGGACTCACCCTTAGAGATAGGGTGAGGAGGTCGGAGCAGAGCCACTGCTCCTTCACGTCGAAAGAAGCCAATTGAGGTGGTTCGTGGGGGTCTTGCTTTGGATGTCTTCCAGGCACATCCAACTAGGTAAACCCAGAACACACTGGAGAGATTATGTACAGTATCTCATCTGAGCTGGGAACACCTCAGAATCCTCCAGGAGGAGGTGGAACACATTGCTGGGTAGAGGGACATCTGGAATACCCTGTTTAACCTGTTGCCATGATGACATGAGCCCGGATCAGCAGCAGAAAATGGATGATAAAAAGATATTTTTTTTATGACAGTTTAATATTTACAGTGTAATATTCATGCTGCTCAGTGTAAATTGTTAAGTAAAAGAACCTACATCAGCAACACAGTGTTCCTGTGCTCACAGTGTTCCTGTGCTCCTGTGCTCTCTCACTGTGATGTGATGTTAAGGTGTGTCTTCAGCAACTACAGGTAGATTTACTATCTCCCTAAACAGAAAGACTTTCTGTTAAAGTAAGATTGTAGATGAAGTTCATCGTGTTTTATTGTTCGTTCCTTCATCTCTGATGATGATGATGATGACGATGGAGCTGTGTTTTAAGAGGGAACCTGCAGCTGATTTTATTTGTGGACTTTGGGACAGAGAAAAAAGTTCTGTGCTAAAAATGTTCTGTTGGAAGAACACACACACACACACACACACACACACACACACACACACACACACACACACACACACACACACACACACAGCTGACCTCTGCTCCCTGCCCTCGCTTTGTTCCCAGAAGATGAGGTGGAGCTGAAGGAGCTGTCCAGCTGGGCATCGCCCTCTGCTGGTAGACACTGGAACTGCACAAAATGCTCAGGAACATAGCCCATCTGTCCACAGGAGTTACACACCTGCACATGGACTGAGACACAGGTGAGACACTGGATAACACACACACACACATCATGATCAACCAGCAGCAGAGCAGCTGATACCTTCACCCAGTCCTCCATGTCTCCATCTTCAATCACCTGAAGCTCTTCCCCTTCCATGATTGACAGCTCATCTGATTGGTTGGCCTGAAGGAAATAAGATGCTTTTGTCATGTTTATGAATTCTTCACTGAAAGACGACATGGTCTGCTCACTGCTTCTGTTAAGTATATTCACTTGTTCACTGTGACACTGGATGTGACTTCATGTGACTAAACAGATTGAAACTTCAGATCAGGCTTAGACAGACTGCTGAAGGTCGTGCTCACCCTCACACTCAGGTTGAGCTAACAACAGACAGTCTTTTTCATGTTCTCCAGATAATATATATTTAAACAGATCAGATTGTGGAGAAAACTAAAGGCAGCTCTTCACCTTCTTCCTCCTGGTTGATATTGTCGTGTGACTGAGGGCTTCACAACATTTCTTGGGCTACAGTGGAACAGTCTAAATAATCTCCTCTCTAACCACTTCTTGAGCTCAAGATGTGAAGGAGAATTCATAAGGACTTAGGAAAAGAATCTGACTGCACTTTCACAAGGATTTTTTTAAACTAACTGTATTTATTAAATTAAAATAATAATTAAATAAAAATAAGAAACTGAGCAAGAAATCAGAATAAATTATATTTAGACATAAGTTTATAGTTTCCTGTCATAGGTGCTTTTGACATTTCAATAAAGAGAATATTAATATTTAGGTCTTTACATAATGGGAGGAGATTTAGTGAAACAACATTTATGTGTAGGCAATAATATGTTGTTATGAAGATGATACTGTTAACTAGAAATTCAATTTGCTTGTTCCTTATTCAGTGAGATTTGGGCTTCAGTCGATCAGACAAGGAGTTCCATCAGTTCTGGATTGTGTCACAAACACAACAACTACTTTGTATCTACATTTATGTGGGTCTGCTATGGTTAAACTACAATGGTGCTTTGCTTCATATGTTGCTGCAGCAAGGAATTGTGGGATTGGATTTCTCCTTTCCTTTCGTAAAGGAAGCTGCAGTGTTTCCTGTGCTAAAGGAGATAAGATAGGAAGCACTGAAGCTCCTTTCCTTATCATTTAGAGAAGTGGATCAGCTCTTTTCATGGCTGCTGCTCAGAAACTTCAGCTCATTTCACTCAGCTGGAACCTTTCTCAGAAAAAAAGACATTTCCACTGGATCCCTGGTCTGTGAGTTCATTTTACTTCCTGTTTCTTTACCACAGCAAAGAGAGGAGTGAAGCTGCCATGTTGATATATGTGATAAAGATGTGGCTTGGTATATTTTCAAGAAAAATGGAGGAAGAAGAGGTACAGAAATGTATCTGGGGTGTAATGAGCTTATTGTTGTGGACATTTGAACCCTGGAGAAGAGACAGGATCTGGAGATAGACATTTAACATGACAAACATCCCCAGAGGAAGAGGAAGAGGAGGCAAAGTGTGAGGTAAAACATGATGAAACATGTGAATTAGTGACTTATGGCCAGAAAATGTGTTTTGTGTGGTCAATGACCTTTTGACCACTAAAATGTAAAAACTTCACCCTTGAGTCCAAATGCATGTTTGTCCCGAGATATCACGGTCACAAGAATGAGACAGATGGGCAGATGTGTCTGGCCCATGCTGTTGTTTCATTTTTTCTGTCATCATGTTGGTCTGTTGGTGTTAACATGTTTCCATCAGAAATATTCTAGATTTCCTCCATTTTCACAATGAGCTGATAAAATGTAGCAGAAGGAAAAAAACTCCACTTTGAGATCCGAGGATGAGGATCTGGATTCAAACACACTAGGAAGAAGTTCACAGAGAACCAGGAGCTCAGTGTAGCTATGGATGTTACTGAGCCACATTACTGTGGACAGGATAAAAATCACTCAGCAGTGCAGGTCATGTTAAAATCAGCCCCCCACCCCCTACAGACAGAAGTCCAGTGTGAGGTTTGCTGTAGCACACAGTAATAATGTGTGTGAGTGGATATCTGAGTGGTCAGTACCTGGTAGCTGTAGATGACTCTGCAGGCTGCAGGAAATACACACACTTCTGAGGCTGACACTGGATCTGTGATTTCTCCGTTCTCATCATCATAGTCCTCAAAGTCAGTCAACTCAAACTCCTCCTCCTGAAGACACACAACAAACACAATCAACATAAACACAAGACACACAACACAAACAATAAAATGTGTGTGTGTGTGTGTGTGTGTGTGTGTCTGTCAACGTACTGAGAAGTCCTCAGTAGACCTCCTCTGCTCACTGAGCCGCCGCTCTCTCTCCAGTTCCTCCTCTGCCTGGCTCATGGCGTCGTGAAGCCACAGTTCAGTTCCTGTGACTCTGACTGAGAGCAGAGCCAGACGAGCCTCAGCCTTCACCCTGCTGAGCTGAGGCAGGACACAACAACACACTGAGACACACACAGCAGCTGGCTTCTGTTCTACACTTTGATATTAGCAGTCAACAGTGTGTGGATTCTTCATTCTCCATTTTGTTTCTGAATGTATTTATCAGTGATATCCTGCCCTCTGTTTGAGTTTTTATTTAGTTTCTGTGTAACATCCTCATGTGTAAAACTTGCACTGTGCGCATATCACAGGACACTCCAGTGTTGTTGTAGTCAAGTCCTGCAAGACTTCAGACAAGTTGTTTAGAGAGACCCATTATGGCTAAATAAAGTCCACCAGTTTCAAGTAATGCCAGTGTCACTCTCCTTCCTGCATAAGTAAGCCTGAGAGCAAACATAACATGGTGTCAGAGTAGAGGTTCATTACCCACTGACCGAGAAATGGAGATGTATAGCGTACCAGCACCCAGGATGGACTGGGATTCACCGAACAAGCCGGAGGCATGGCGCTGTTTCCAACAGCATGAGGAGCTGGTGTTCACCACGCTTCACGAAAAGCGCAAGGAAAAGTGCAGTTATCAACTTTTGTGGAAAGGGGAGGAGGGGCGAGATGTGTAGAAGACCTAGACACTCACAGAAGATGGAGCTAAGAAGCTACAGACATACTATGATATAAGTACACACAATACCTGATGCCCAAGTCCAACTCGATATATGCTAGATATCGTTTCCACAAGAAAATGCAAGGGAGCAGTGAGACATTTGAGCACTTTGTAACAAAGCTAAAGCTGCTACTAAAGACTGTGGATACCCAAACAGTGACAAAATGGTCAGAGACTGCATTGTGGAGATTGGGGCATCACAACAGAAAATGAGGTTTAAAGTAGACACTGGTGCAATGGTAAATACCCTTCCAGAAAACATATTCAACAAATGTTCCAAAACACCACCTTAAAGCCACCTATACATAAGCTCACCACTTATGGAGGAGCGTGTTTTACAAAGTTTTACAATGTTGATGCCAAAGCCAAGGAAAAAAAAGAAACCAGTCAAGTGTCAAATGTGGTCAGACAAAGCAGGCCTGGTCGGGCCGACTTGTAACCCCTGAAGCCTGACCTGTAGCATGGTCTTTTGTCTTCACCCCTGGAACAAAGGAAACAGCACTAAAGGCCGCCCGACAGACTCCCAACTCCCAGCATGCTCCATGTTTCACATCTGAATTGAATTCTGGGGAGTCCCAAACTCACACTCCTCATTGGCAGAGGCTATCATCTTTCAGATCACGTCTGCCATCTTGTCAAACCCCCCCCCCCCCCCCCCCTCCCCCCCGAACAGGGGCACACACATACACAAAGTCACACACACCACCTGCATGTGTTTATTGTATTGCTGCGTTTTCTGTATTTTTAGTTAGTTGGATGATTGGTAGAATAGTGTCTTTGTTGATTACTGTGAAAATTAAATAAACATTGTTGTAGTTTAAAGAGAAGTCATTTAGTCATTATTGTGCATGTTTATTGTGACCTGTCAGTCACTTGTAGTCGTTGACCCCAGGAGTTAAGGTACATTAAGTTAACTACTTAGGTTGTGAGACTGCAACCTGGTTTGGTTATCGTCCCGGTCTCCAGGTAATGCCCCGTATTATTAATTAATATTAATAAGTTTAATAATAATAATTAATAATTTCTTAGTAAATAATTTATTATATTTAGACATGATAAATCATATTCAATAACCAAATACGTACCAGATCAAACAACAGGAAGTCAAATGACCACGAGATATACAAGGAAGTCAACTTCAAAATAAAACAGGAAATTAAACAAATGTCCAAACATGACTGGTTTGTATGTCTGAGAGTTCACAGCTGTACTACTAATACTTTACTCATCATCTCACTGGAAGGAGGGAAATATTAATCATTATAATTAATCATCATTATTAATCATCAAGGTGAGGAAACGTTAAGGTTAAACAACCTGATGTCAACTCAGCAGAGGATTATAAAAAATCAAGGTGGGAGATTTAAACTTTGCTATATTCTTACTGCTGTCACTGATGTTTCCTTTGTCTCAAGTATCAGCCTGTCTCTCACTGATCAATAGAGAATCTATATCTATACAAGTGTATTCAGTGTTAAGATATTTTGCCTCTCTCTATTAGAATGCCTACTGTATCAATATGAACATGTCATTTATAGCGGTGCTGCTTACACCTTGATGGAGTTCTTTGATAAACAGGAACAAAAACAATTTTAGAGACCGAGCTTTGTTCTTAAAGAGGGTCAACAAAATACTTGGCTTTAAACCCCCTGCTGCCTCTTCATCCTCTCTGTCTCTGCTTCATCTGCTGCTCTGATATTAATTTTTTTTTTTTTACTGATACATAATGTTTTATGTGACAAAATGTTAATTATGTTTAAGAAATAATACAAATTCAAGTGATTTATGAACATTGTTTAATATTTACTCCTTTCAGTTCATTAATAATCAGAAACTCAGATTTGAAATCTGAGGTCTTAAGTTTTGAAATTTTACAATTTTTCTCAGTTCAGCTCACAGATGATTTTATAGTTTTGCTTTTTGGAGATACAGAGATCAGCCTCATATATCATCCTATACAGAGTCATTCCTGTACAAATCCTGTTTAAATCATTGTCTTACAGTAATCAGTTGTCCTCTTACATGACACACAAGGAAGAAGAATTTAAACTGTTGTCTCCTGCAGCCCCTCAGCTCAGACACTTCTCACTTACTGTACGAGGTTTGTGGAGACACCTTGTAATGACCATTCTCCCCACACAAGTTCACTCGCTGCCAAAATGTTAAACTGGAGGAGCTGAACTCCATTAGCTGCAAAAGCAGAGAACTGAAACATGTTGTCATGTTGTCTCCCTGTATGCGTACTAACTTGTAAACAGCTTTCTTTTTCAGTGTGTGTGTGTGTGTGTGTGTGTGTGTGTGTGTCATACTGTAAATAGTGAAGCTGTTGTTTCATTACTTTATATATACACAGGTCAGTTAGGTCTCTGAATGAGAAATAGAGCAGGAAAGAAAATCAGCTATGATAATCATCTGCTTGTGTTGATTCTGATTCTGTTTTCATCTGTAAATGGGGGGGGGGGTAACTTGAGTTAAATACCTTTGCTTTGCGCACACTGTCCTGCACCTCTGCTATCTTGTGCTCCACACTGAACCCTGTATCTCCTGACAGCAGCTTCAGCCGACTCTTCAACATCTGCACAGCCTGCCAGGACACACACACACAAACACACACACACACACACACACACACACACACACACACACACACACACACACACACACACACACACACACACACACACACACACACACACATATAGTATTTTTTACTTAGGTATGTGCATGTCTATGCATATATAAAATATGAACCAATTATAAATAAATCCAGAAATAATGTTTTACTCCATGATGGTGCATGTAAACTCTTGCAACTTCATGCATAACTTTTATGTGTATGTATACATTTATTTGTGTTTTTTCTGGGAAAACGAGTAGTCAGCGGATGTGGGAGGGGTTAAGCCCAGGAGAGCTTTTCTCTGTGTATGTGTGAGTGTAATTGTTCCATCATGCCTTAGGTTTTGTATTTTGTGCATTTTGTGTTAAGGACCCCCTTCGAAAATGAGATGGTTCATCTCAAAGGGTTTAAACTTCTAATAAATGTATCAACACATACAACACATGAAGCTCTTCATGACACAGAACATCAGATAACTAGACTTCAGTACAACTTTACTACAAACACTTTAATACCAAATATCTAGCAGATAATTCTTTCAGATGAGAATGTTTAAATGAGTGAACAGCAGTGAAGAGAATATGAGGAGTGAAGCTGATGAAGATGATGCACAGTTGTTACTGAGAATCAGGATGGACCAGTGACACTGACGTGCACACCTTCAGAGACAGAGATAATCTGAACAGGAACTGAGGTCACACACTCAGAGCTCAGAGGTGTGGTCATGACTATACATGAAGTATGTCCTCAGGAGGTTGTTATACTACAGTGTGATGTAAACAGGAAGTGGCTGAATAAAGCCTGAGCTCAAACCAGCATCATCTCTGTCTCACCCTCTCTCCATGGGTGAGGATCTTAAAGTCTTTGGCAGCTTTCGTCACCCATTTCTTGGCCTCTTTAACCAGACAGCTGCCAGCCTCCGACACATACACCTCCTGCAGAGAACAAACCTGCACACAGGAGGGACACACACTCTCAAGATGACATCATTCAGCTTTCACACTGTGCTATTGTTACTGTGTGTGTGTGACTGCATTATGTTCTGATGCACACACTATTTTATCTAATGACGGTTCTGTGGCAAAAACAAAAATACAATGATACAAAATATGAAATGGTCATAATGTGGTTTTTATTACTGTCTTTTTAATAATAATACACACACACACCTTGTCAAATGGAGCAGGTTGGAAGGTGAATTCAATCGTTTTGCTGAAGGAAACCGATTCTCGTAGAAACTGCTGGATGTTTTTCTCTCTGGTCACCTGACAACACAACAACTAATCACAGTAACCATCACACACACACAAACTATTTTCCCCCAGTGCTCCCCTCAGACTGCACTCACCTGTTAGTTCAAACATCCTATTTATGTGTTGAATTTCTCCCTGGAGGTCTTCACCACTGAGCCTCTCACCTCTCCCCCCTCATCAGAAAACATTTCTTTCTGCTTACCTTTTTCTCCCTTGTCTGTCATCTTCCCTCAGACCCCTCACCCCCACCCATATGTCCTCTTGAGACAAAGTGAGACATGTATTATGTCTGGTTTCTCCTGTGGGGGATATCGCTCCTCACATTCCTCCAACCTGAACAACCATACAGGTTGTTTTTTCAACCTTCTGTCACAAAATTGTGCACCCTAGTTGTGATGGTCAAAATTATAAAAACAACGTGGACTGTATCAACAGCAGCATACCTACCTTTGTCGCCATGGTTATTATAATAATGACCATGTCTCGGTTAGGTTCAGTATAATTGATTTGCGATTTGGGTTAAAATAAGTACTTCCTCAACATTATACAATCTTTGTTGACATGGTTACAATAATAAGAACATGGTCAACTTTGTGGATGGAGATTGAGGATAGAAACAACATTAGAAAATTCCTGGAGTAATTTTGAATGTGTCTGCTGCTTGGTGCATGTACTTCACTCCTCTCGTTTCAATCTGTACAAAGGACGTTACTTTCAGTTTCATTCATGTCGTAGAGACTTATCCTGACACTGACCTCAGTCACTGCAGTTGTCACTGAAACATGTTGTTGTCATGTTGTCTCCCTGTATGAGTACTAACTTGTAAACAGCTTTCTTTTTCTGTGTGTGTGTGTGACAGTGTGTGTATCTGTTTGTGTGCATCTGTCTGTTTGTGTGTGTTAGTGTGCCTTTCTATCTGTCTGTGTGCCTCTCTGCTTGCCTGTATTTATGAGTGTTTCTGTGTCAGTTAGAATGACAAACTGAAATTAACTGCTGAATGCTTCCTGATTACAACTGGACTGAAACATTTTTCCAGTGAAAACAGTTTAGAGGTGTGTAAATCATTTCCTGTATTTAGTGTTGGAGCAGTCTGAGTTACACAGATTTTTTCCATATAAAATTTTCAGCTGCTCCCACTCTAGCAATGATGTCATCCACTCTAGCCTTGGACATTCCATGCAATACACAACCATTATAAACTCAAAAATGATCGGAAAAAAGCATAAAACTAAAACTCTGATAACTTAAAAACAGTTGAAGATATCAAAAAGCTGAATAAAAGCTTAATAGCTGAAAGACTTGTCTACAGTTCAAAGCTTAAATGACGTCTGTAGCTAAATTTTCAAATTCTGTATTCTGAAGTATTTAATGTTTAAAGAAGCTGAAGTTTTCAAGGATTTGAACATGGTCTCCATTCATTTGAATGGCAAAAAAAATCATAAAAACATTAATATTTCAAAAATTATAAATTATATCAAAAGCTGAATACGTCCAATAATATATAGAAAAAGCTGAACATTTTGATATTGAATGTTTTTTGTAGGACAAAGTATGAGGGACTAGTTAAAGACCATAGAAAGGTGGAAGAATTAAGAATAACTAGACTGCTGAAAATGCGTGTGAATGCTGAGAGCTGAATGAGATCACTGAAGCAATGCTGAAGAAGTTGAAGCAACTGCTGAAGCATTGCTTAAGTAGCTCAAGCAATTGCTGAAGCAATGCCAAAGTATCTCAAGCAATGGCTGAAGATTAAAAGCAGAAATGGTAAGCTGGAGGTTGAATGGTTGAAAAAGGTCTAAGTTGTTGTTGTAAAAGCACAAAACTGTACAAAACTGTACAAAAATGTACATAATGTACAAAGCAGAAAAACATGTTAGTTGGAAGCCAAATTGGCTGACAAAAAACCTAAGAAAGAAGAAATGTACAAGCAAAACTTTTAATGTCACACCAGTAGGAGATTTCTGTCACAATGCTAAAATAGTTGAAAATGCAGCTCATATTAAATTAAGTACTGTGCTTTGAAAAAGTAGATGCCAAAATGTTAACTTGGAGGAGCTAAACTCCATTAGCTGCAAAAGCTGAGAAGTGAATCATGTTGAAAGAGTTAAAATGTCACAGCCTGTTTCTCAGTGTTTTTCCACTCACCCTGCCTCTGTCTCACTCTCCACTCTGCCACAACTCCTCATCAGCCTCACTGTTCTCACCTGTTGCCCCCAGCTACACTCCATCTCCAATCAAGCCAGTATATATGCATCCCCGGTTCACTCGCTCTTTGCCAGATTGTTCTTAGTATCATGCAAAACTTTCCAGCATTCATCCCCGGACTGACTTCCTGGTATCTACGCTGCTCGTTCCTGACCATCCTGCCTCGTCTCTGCCCTGGTAAACGCCTCAGCCTTCTGTCCCTGACCATGAGTTCTGCCTGTGCTCTTCCTGTTCCCCGTCTACCTGTCCCTGTGACTGTTTGGCGTTCTCCAGCTCCGACGTCGCAATGTGAGTGCCTCCTTGCTGGTTCCCTGATCCTTCGTCTGGCTTTGATTACCCGCCTTGCTGAATAATCACTTAGCCAAAACTCTTGTGAACAGTTTAACAGTAGCATGATGTCATCCACTCTAGCCCTGAACATTCCGTGCAATACACACCCGTTATATGAGAAATTATCTGAACATCGTGTGTGTGTGTGTGTGTGTGTGTGTGTGTGTGTGTGTGTGTGTGTGTGTGTGTGTGTGTGTGTGTGTGTGTGTGTGTGTGTGTGTGTGTGTGTGTGTGTG